TTGTTTTTCTTACTAGCACATTAAGCAACTGCAGGTCTTCAACTGAACACCACTATTCACAGTATGCTACCGCGAGGTATGTGTTCAACCTTCCAGACATGAACTTCACACCCGTTTGTGCGCACCGAAACCCCAGGCGCCCACAATCGTTGAGACCATAGCATTCGCCAAGAACACTTTCCAGAGATTAGTCCCCATTGCGAGCACCAACATCACAGTTCCGTATGGCGCGGGAATGCTTGGCGCCCTCCCAGTACTAGTATTCCGAGAAAAACGTCAGTCCACCTCCCACCATCTCCTCCCAACGAATGTGCGATTGTGTTCGTGCAAAATCCTTGTGATAATCGCGCTTAGAGAGTCAAGTCTCCCTCAGTATAAAGGGTTGTCCTTTTTTGGCGAAATTCACGGTTTGATGCGAATCACCGCCGAGCGCGTCAAGCAAACAATGACGCAGACAATTCAGATGCGAAATTCCCCCAACCATCACTGGCCCATGAGGGCTATGTAGTGCTCGAACTAGTTTAAATTCTCGCCTGAGCAATTAGAAAGTAAAACACGTCAGGAAACGTACCACAATAAATACTGGAACTGAAAGTGAAAGTGCGAGAGATAGATGTTCTTTGGTTGTACCAATAATACCCATGTTAGCACCAACCTGGAAGCAGATATCAAGAAATTTTAGTACTGAACTTTGAATCGAATAAAATCAAATAAAACATACCATAAGCATTGTATAATCCGGCATGTGGCCTGTCATTCCAAATATCGTAGTTTTTAAATACTTTTCGTGTCCGGCCAGGTCAATAAACGTTATCAACTGTAACTCATTTCAATTTTTTCTTATGAAACTAGAACTAATGAAAAGATGGATATAAACTGACTTTACAGCAATCTCTGCTTATTTGCACCCAGTCGAGATTGTTATTGTGAGGATCGGGTTTATTAACAACCGTACCATGAACATCGAAACCAAGAATGTCGTTACCAACCGACGACGTACGACCGGATTCAAACTCGTGCTTATGCCTAAAAACTGAACTTCCTTCACGGCTCTTTGTCTAAAAATCAACACTATTTAATTACTGCTCCCTAAAAAAACAACTTTTTTCTGAAACTCTGCTACAAGGGGTTAGACAATGCCCTGATCACGATATGACACCCGTTTTTGGCGTTGCGTCACTACCTTTCTCACCAAAATAGATAAAAATTTGTGTAAGGAGTTTATTTGGCACCCTGACCACGAACATGACATAAACTTCTAGCTCTGCCGCTATTTAGCGCTCTGCATCGGCTGAGTCTGAGAGGAAGAGTGTCCCTTTAAGTCAGCTTTAGCGGAGCGCAGATGACCGTAATGCCCTACGTTAGCACCGGCGTTAAGAATGAATGTCATGTTCGTAGTCAGGATGACAAATATACCCGTACACAAGTTTCCATAAAAATTAGTGAGAAAGAACGAAGAATGACGCTGCATGGGCGCTTATGGAGGCACTACTCGTTCAACCCAATTTCAACACATTCAAT